TTGCATTTGCTGAGTGCTGATTTTCTTATTTTGTAGGACTGGTCGCCAAACCTTGTTTACTTTAAGGGTTTCTTCTTTCCTGTCCTCGTAGGGTTTTCTAGGTGGGAGGTTACATCTACACCTTCCTATGTGCAGTGCTAACAAATATTAGCTATGAGATCACTAGATAGCCAACACAAAAACCAAATAGATTACATAATTGGAAGTAAAAGATGGTGAAGCTCCATACTGGTGGGCAAGACTAGACCAGGTGCTGATTGTGGCACAGATCATGAACTAGTCATTTCAAAAATAAAAGTAAAACTCAAGAAGAGAACAAAACCAGTTATCATAACAAAATACAATTTAAACAACATTCCCACAGGATTCATGGGCAAATATAAGGAACAGATTTGCAGTACAAAGCCCAGGGCACAGCAGATTCTGGAACACCATATAAAAGACATTGATATACAATATTCTTTATCCTCTGCCTGCACTACCTGTTATCCCATCAGTTTAGGGTTGCAGTTCAATCTTGAAAGGGAGGCATGTTATTTACAAAATTTGACCTGTGTTTACTAAAGTGAGATTTAATGTTATCCCCTCTGCCTTGTTAAAAGGCTCCTATAAGGGAACCCCTTACAAAGAACTGGTTTGCCCTTGCAGTGAAGGTTCTGTTGAGTCTCTAGAGCATGTCCTATTTTTCTGTATATTTTTATAAGGATTAGAGGCTAAGTATATACTTAGCTTACATATACTCTGTTGCCTGATTGCCTGTTGGCTGAAATAAAGGTATGTTGTTGTTGTTGTTGTTGTTGCAGTACTAAGTATAATAGATCATGAACTGGAAGAGCTTTGGTTTGAAGCCAGGGAAATAATAAAAGAAGAATGCATAAAGACACCTCCAACAGAAAAAAAGAAAGTGAAAAAATATGGATGACAGATAAAACGCTACAAGCAATAAATGGAAGGAGAGAAACAAAACAAAAAGGAGATAGGTATAAACTAAAGAACATGGATGCAACAGTACAATGGCTAGTGCACAAAGATAAGGAAAATTACTACAAGGACGAATGTAGAGAAATAGAAGACAAGAACAAAAAGGTAAGAACGAGATACCTATTCCATAAGATTTGAGAAATCAAGGGAAAGTTCAAACCAAGGACCAGGACACTCTACACCAATAAAGAAATTAGCATAATTCAAGACCAGGAAAGAATAAAAAGATGTTGGATGCAATACACAGAAGAACTATAAAAAAGAGATGATAAAATGAAGGACACATGGAGCAAAGAACCATATGAAGATGAACCCCAAATTCTAAAAACTGAGGTGGAAGCTGCAATAAAAGAAATGGCCAAAAAAAAAAAAAACACCAACAAAAAAACCCCCAAGACTCCAGGAACAGATGATATACCAATAGAACTCTTGCAATCCACATTGACAGTGTCAACACTAGTTGTAACTAACATACGTCAATAAATATGGAAAACAAAACGATGGCCAACAGATTGGAAGCGATCAATATACATCCCCATCCACAAAAAACGAGACACGAGACTGCAGCAACTATAGAACCATAGCACTAATCTCCCATGCAAGAAAAATTATGCTCAAAATACTGCAACATAGGCTCCAAACATACATGGAGATAGAAATCCCAGAGGTCCAAGCAGGGTTCAGGAAAGAAAAAGGCACCCGGGATCACATTGCAAATATATAATGGCTATATGATTCCAAAAGAAATATATGATTCCAAAAGAAAATCATTATGTGCTTTATAGACTATAGCAAAGCCTTTGACTGCATAGATCATGAAAAACTGTGGAATGTCCTTAAAGACACGGGAGTGCCAAGACATCTGATAGTCCTAATGAAGAAGCTGTACTCAGGAAAAGAGGCTACTGTCAGAACAGAACATGGAGAAACAGAATGTTTCCCAATTGGCAAAGGAGTCAGACAAGGCTGCATCTTACCACCCTATCTATTCAACTTACATGCAGAACATATTGTAAGGAAATCAGGCTTGGGCATGGAAGAGCGAGAAGTAAAAATAGGAGGAAGAAATATCAACAATCTAAGATATGCTGACGACATCATAATACTAGCCGAAAACCTCACAGACCTAGA